TGGTTATTATCCATGGCTTTTAGCTACATTTATTGGACAGAATAGATTATTGGGCATGACACCGTCAGAACCCGCGCAAAATGACGAAAAAGGCGTGAAACTGTGAGATGCCATCTTGAATGAATCGTTTCTCTCTTAGTATCAAAAGAGCTTTCTATACTAATGTCTGTCCTCAAGATGTCGTGAACGTGTCAGCAAATGACAAAGATTATAATATCGACTTCATTATTTTATTTCATCAACATAACCATCAACAAGCAATTATGGTTACAATATAACAGGATGTTCTTTGCACAACATTTCTGAACAAGAACAATAACAAAGTTACTGTAGCACTAGCTGATGTGGCCAGGAACTTGTGATTTCCCTTAAGCGTGTCTATGAAGTGCACAGTCGTCTACAGACAAAGCTCGACTGAGAGTCGTCATATCGTAGCTGCTGTCGTTGGTGTAGAGGTCTTCCTCGTCTTCGTCGTCCTCACTGTATGAGCTGTCGACCTCGGGTTCGGTGAAGGAAGCGTCATCGTCATTGAAGGAAGTTTCAGCATTCCAATCCGCCTCTGTATCACTTTCTCCAGAAACATCTTTGGTGATGGCATTTACACAGGCCTGCACCTCTTGCCACTTGATTTGTCTGTAGATGGTAAACATCTCCTTCACACCTTCCAGTACCCATCGTCTCTGGATCAGCTGTTCACCTCGAATTATACAGTTGTTGGAGGAGTTGGCCGTCATCTTTGCATCAGCTTGTACACCTGCATGTCTGAAAAAAGTAAAACGGGGTAATTAGAAGTCTTGGTAGAGATGATCAAAATAAAGTCATGAGGTTTTCAATTTTGAAGGTCAGAGTACTAAATATTGGCATTTTACAGGCAGATAAGAACTGTTGATATTTACCTAATGTCAGGATCTCTTTCACTGCATTGTCATGGGCAACAAGGAGACCTCTCAGCTTGATGGCAACTTGAACTGGATCCATTTTCTAGGGCTTATCTACACAATTCTGGACTGATATCGGGCCTATAGCTAATACTGTAGGAAGTCAGTGACGCTCTGATAATTGAAAGAGGGTGTGATCGGTCCTGCAGGCTGAGATGGAGTGAAGTACATCGGACTCTGGGAAACCTTTATACTTGCCCTCAGTACAAACAAGTGGGGATTTATACATCAAAGAGAGCGTTTTGGAAGCCAGTGGCGAGATCAAAGCTATACTGCAACTTCATTGGGCTTTGATCGAAATGGGATCTCATTGTCCACTTTGAAGCACCAATCATGTGCTTGTCAAAACAAGCTTAATTTGTAGTAAAGGGAGGTCTGAGGAAAGTTCAACCAATCCAATCTCGTTATCTCGGGGAATATCAATCAGCGTTTCTTGATAAAGTCGGGATTAATCTAACGGTGCCCTTCGTCGTCTTACTTCTAATGCATTGGCTTTTGTTGGTAGAGGAAGGGCCGCTGACAAAAACATAGCAACAGAAAACGTCTTATGCTTCACGTAACCTCTATTTGTAATAAATAAGAACGACAAAACCACTTGCACAATAACAGAAAATCCCTGTTAAAGTAGGCAAAGTCAAAGTATGGACTGTATTGTCTGCATTTCTTTGACGTAGCACCTTATTTGTTAACCTCACCATTTCTCTACCTCTTCTTACATCATAGATATATATCACGAATGATCTGAGACTTTTGTATGTGGATATTGTCCATCTGAAACAATACTTGGTGAACGTCAGATTGTTTGAAACCTTACCATATAAAGATGTGTATATATAGTTTGAAGACAGTTCATGTGTGTTAGATTGGGTAGAAAGTACATCTTGAATACATATGTGGCAATTCTGTTGGAGAGTTGCACAGGACAACGTAATACAACTCTATCATGTGTAAATGTTGCTTTGAATACACAATAATGTAAAGGGCATTGTACAGATGGGACCGGCTTGCTAACTGAGCCCATTTCAATGATGACCACTGTCTTGTGTAAGGATGTTCCGATCTTTCGTGTTCTGTTTCTTCAGGGGAATGTTGTACACCGAGTGCATTTTGTTGAATTAGAAATACTTTTGACTTGTGCTGATGCCAATTTGAAAGATTCAGTTTTCTTTTGCATTGCATGCTGTATGCATTAACAGTTTTTAACCTCCTGGGTTCAGCCCAAGCACTGGGGGCATGTTCATTTCAAAAGGATAGAGTACAGTCGAAAGGATGACATTACGAAACATACGGTATGAGAGATAGAGTGTTTTGGGTGTTTTTCTTCAATCATTATGATATGTCATCGTCATTTATATGGTCAAAGGAATGACAACGGTTGAAAATGTTATGCTGTGGTGTAGCTGGAGCTGTGTGAGATGGAAATCCCATCGTCAATATCTAAATGTGTTTCATTTTAGTTGGTTATTATCCATGGCCTTTTGCTACATTTATTGGACAGAATAGATTATTGGGTATGACACCGTCAGAACCCGCGCAAAATGACGAAAGGCGTGAAACTGTGAGATGCCATCTTGAATGAATCCTTTCTCTCTTAGTATCAAAAGAGCTTTCTATACTAATGTCTGTCCTCAAGATGTGGTGAACGTGTCAGAAAATGACAAAGATTATAATATCGACTTCATTATTTTATTTCATCAACATAACCATCAACAAGCAATTATGGTTACAATATAACAGGATGCTCTTTGCACAACATTTCTGAACAAGAACAATAACAAAGTTACTGTAGCACTAGCTGATGTGGCCAGGAACTTGTGATTTCCCTTAAGCGTGTCTATGAAGTGCACAGTCGTCTACAGACAAAGCTCGACTGAGAGTCGTCATATCGTAGCTGCTGTCGTTGGTGTAGAGGTCTTCCTCGTCTTCGTCGTCCTCACTGTATGAGCTGTCGACCTCGGGTTCGGTGAAGGAAGCGTCATCGTCATTGAAGGAAGTTTCAGCATTCCAATCCGCCTCTGTATCACTTTCTCCAGAAACATCTTTGGTGATGGCATTTACACAGGCCTGCACCTCTTGCCACTTGATTTGTCTGTAGATGGTAAACATCTCCTTCACACCTTCCAGTACCCATCGTCTCTGGATCAGCTGTTCACCTCGAATTATACAGTTGTTGGAGGAGTTGGCCGTCATCTTTTGCATCAGCTTGTACACCTGCATGTCTGAAAAAAAGTAAAACGGGGTAATTAGAAGTCTTGGTAGAGATGATCAAAATAAAGTCATGAGGTTTTCAATTTTGAAGGTCAGATTACTAAATATTGGCATTTTTACAGGCAGATAAGAACTGTTGATATTTACCTAATGTCAGGATCTCTTTCACTGCATTGTCATGGGCAACAAGGAGACCTCTCAGTTTGATGGCAACTTGAACTGGATCCATTTTCTAGGGCTTATTTACACAATTCTGGACTGATATCGGGCCTATAGCTAATACTGTAGGAAGTCAGTGACGCTCTGATAATTGAAAGAGGGTGTGATCGGTCCTGCAGGCTGAGATGGAGTGAAGTACATCGGTCTCTGGGAAACCTTTATACTGGCCCTCAGTACAAACAAGTGGGGATTTATACATCAAAGAGAGCGTTTTGGAAGCCAGTGGCGAGATCAAAGCTATACTGCAACTTCATTGGGCTTTGATCGAAATGGGATCTCATTGTCCACTTTGAAGCACCAATCATGTGCTTGTCAAAACAAGCTTAATTTGTAGTAAAGGGAGGTCTGAGGAAAGTTCAACCAATCCAATCTCGTTATCTCGGGGAATATCAATCAGCGTTTCTTGACAAAAAGGCGTGAAACTGTGAGATGCCATCTTGAATGAATCGTGTCTCTCTTAGTATCAAAACAGCTTCCTATACGAATGGCTGTTTTCAAGATGTCGTGAACGTGCCAGGAAATGGCAAAGATTATAATATCGACTTCATTATTTTTTTTCTAAACAATATAAACAACCAATTCTTGTTAGAATATTTTTCTGCTTGCACACTATAGGTTAACAGGAATATACACTAGCATTTAAAATATTATGGTGGCACTAGTTGACGCGGACAGGAAGTTGTTACTTCCCTTGGACAATTATTTCTCTAAATGTTTGAAAAGTTGAGGTGAGTTGGGTTTTACGTCAGATCGGCATTATTCCAGCCATATAGTGACGAGATGAAATCTGCATTCATAAATATTTTAAGTGCAAATTCCAAATGAGATTTATTTCAAACACAGACACAGACACACACACGTGTGTGTGTGTGTGTGTGTGTGTGTGTGTGTGTGTGTGTGTGTGTGTGTGTGTGTGTGTGTGTGTGTGTGTGTGTGTGTGTGTGTGTGTGTGTGTGTGTGTGTGTGTGTGTGTGTGTGTGTGTGTGTGTGTATTCACTACATCGTTATTTAAAAAAACCAGAACATGTCATAGCACTAAATTCAAAGCAAACAATTCGTCATTCACATTACATAGTTACCAGATCAACCTCCCTCAGGTACTAGTAGTTCACAATGAGATGGCCGCTCACGCGGGACAAAAGATCTTTCAGATTTGTGGGCATCATAATGTTAAAAGTGGTATCATAAATCTGTTTATTGGGACCTCATGTTGAGGAGAATAACAAGACATTCGTGGATGATGTAACGGAAACACTATTAAAAGAACCCTGAAGGTTCAACTCACTCACCCTATCCTCTATTTACACAAATCCACCGACCCCCAACTCACTCACTCACCCTATCCTCTATTTACACAAATCCACCGACCCCCAACTCACTCACTCACCCTATCCTCTATTTATCCAAATCCACCGATCCCCAACTCACTCACTCACCCTACCCTCTATTTATCCAAATCCACCGATCCCCAACTCACTCACTCACCCTATCCTCTATTTACACAAATCCACCGACCCCCAACTCACTCACTCAATCGTTCACTCGCCACCTTGTACATGCATATGGTTGATCCACATTGTTGTGATGGTGATAATTGACCTTATGCACCGGACAATAGGAAGCATATGAAGTCTCTTTGGTGGCGTATATGGGTAATAATATACACATTTTATTACCTTTATGAAACTGAACACAACCGTAAAAATATAAATGGCATTGGGTTACAAATCACTGGATTTGCATCAAATCAAAATGAAAAGCTGTCCTCTTTTCAGGAACTTCTGGAAGGACGCGAAGCTGGAGATCGTTGTCGTGGCAGCAGAGATACTTTCCTAGAAGTACATATGTAAACTGGATAAGTTTACTGAAGTACAAATTCAATATTTATTTTGTTTGCATTAAAGAACAAGACAGTCATGTGTTTATGAATATTTTGAAATTTGAAAATGGTAATCGCACACGTCTACCCTAAAACACGTTGAAGCTTTTCTATGGCCTCGAATGTTGAACCCACGAATAATTAACGTTTTAACTGAAAGGATCAAACACTCAGCTATGAATAAAACAAAGGCTGACTCTGCATACATTAGCTCCTGTTTAGCAAAATAGGGAAAATCAGGTTATATACAATTGAGGACAGGAGACGAACGAACAATGATTTAGTACCATTGTTTTAAAGATTGTTTAACAATGAACCAAACAAATGACCGTCAGTTCCTCACTTGGTACAAACATTCTGGTACACAAATAACTGTTGAGTAAAGATTTGTTATACTGTGCGACATAAAGACATCGATTTACAAAATTGATTTAAATAACTGTGTTACCTAGAAATTTGACGCTTTGGAACACCAGGTAACTGACGTTGTTTTCAACTTCCTCTGAAATAAGGAAGTGGTGCCCATCTGGAGAAGTCGTTGACCTTAGAGCTGTGGTCCTAGAAATGAAATAATTTATTTGTTCTTAAAGCTTTTATACGCATTATATACAGACAGGCATATTTTATTTCAGCATAATTAGATGTGTTTCACATTACAATAAAGCTTCAGTACATATAATTGGCTGTAATCATATTAAGTAAATTTAGTTTACCAGCAACTCGACTGTTCCGTCTGCACGTGCTGTGACATCATACACGTGACCCTTGACCTCGTGACTGAAGGTGATGGTCATCACAGGGGGCATCTCTGTTTCTGAAATACTCGTGCATGATTGGAAGATCTCTGCAAAATTAAAACAAATGTTTGTAAAAATATATGATACATTAAGAAGGCGCTGTAATGAGGGATTAATTGGACCGCTATTAGCACTTTTCTAGCAATATCCCTGTGGGGGACCAAAAAACCCTGGGGAATCAAACCCGGGTTTTCACTATGTCCATCGAACACACTAACCACTGTGCTACCCTTTAAATATCGTAATGTCAATGCAGTTGCTCGATTTGGTGTTTCAAAGATTTTCCACTTTGTGTTGTCATTTCAGTGAGTGAGTAGGTGAGCTTTACGCCGCTTGTAGCAATATTGAAGCAATATCACGCCTGGGGACACCAGAAATGGGCTTCACACATTATTTTATCTCACACACTTATGTCGATTTCTGAGTGGCTGAGCCAATCAATATACCTCGCTTACAAGCGAATAATATTTTCTATGTTATCCGCTGCAAATGCCGAACTGAGGGAATTCGTTTGGTACTTCGTGTTAGTAATGTTTGACCTGTTGCCTAACTCTGGTACTCCTTATTACGATCCTATACCGTTCGGGCTCAGGGAACATAAACCAACATAGAGGGTATATCAACCCATGCCCCCCTAGAGACCAGTGAACAACTTATATTGTACCCATGTGGGGAATTGAACCCGGTTCTTCGGCGTGACGAGCGAACGCTTTAACCATTAGGCTACCCCACCGCCCTGTCATTTCAGAGAACGAGACAATCTATTTGTTTCAGTCGACCTGGGCTCAATACTCCATGTTTGGATCTGCTGTGTCACATTTAAAGCAAGGTGGAACTTGTGATGTTTTTTATGTGGGCACTGAGATCTGGGCCCTTATTCTCGAAACGTTCGTAGACGTAAGCATTCTTAACTTTGATCGTAGCCAATGTGTTAAGAATGGGCTTAAGAAGTTCGTAGGACTACGAACGTTTCGAGAATAGCTAGCCTGGCCACGGGTGACAAAAATGGAGAAAACTCAAAGCACTATATCAGAGATACGACTATGAATGAATGCTTACACCCCAATTGAGCCCTTACAACACCAAGTGAGTCCCCAACGATTATAACTATTGAATATTCTTAAGACCTAGTCTTCCCCGGAAGCTCCATCTGTAGATTATTTAAATGAATCTGAATGACAGTGAGAAAGAGTGGTTTATCGGGATTTTACAGAGCGTTTGACTCTTGTCAAGCAGCATCACGTTGTGGGACACCAATAATAAACTTTAAACATTGTAGGGGAATCAAACTCGAGTGTACGCGATCTCTTTCACCACAGTCCTCGATTGCCTCAAACACTAACATCTCACCTTTTGTTTTCTGTTTCTGATCTGCTCCAGTGACAAACGTGAGGTGAGGTGGATCGCCTACAGCAGACAAATGCTGGTTACTGCGTGTACTGATAATTACGTTCGCTGTCTTTGGAGCCGACATTGTGCAGCTGCTTGACTGGTTCACGTCTTCTGGAGCTCTGAAGCTTAATCGCACGCTAAACATATATACGGAAGCTGTTATCAATAACTCAATTCTTGGGATTACATGTACCTGATTTTCCGAGAAAGGCTATTTCAGGGCATTACCGCCTTTACAACAGAGAACAACCTTAGCGTTGACAAGCAACGCAGCTACAAACCTTCAATCATTCCTGGAAAACTATACCTGTTGAGAAGATATCGGCTTCTTATTATTAAAGCTTAGCAAGAAATCACGTCATAGTGTGCTATTTATAGATGTGACGGAATACATTTATGCAAGCTGCGGCTTGGGCGTGACTGTACTGTGAAGAAGTATACTTAATATATGAGTGTTGTAACCTGCTGTCTATAAATAGCTCTGACTATAACGCGTAACCTACTTACCTGTCACTGCTTGCATACACATATACTATACATACTATGACAGGTCGATGTTTTAATGCTACTGAGAGTAGAAGTCTGAAGATTTTGTTTCGTTGCTTTGTTTGGTGACTGGTAGTTTATCACCTCACTCCAACTATAAGCGGTCTGAAGATAATCGGGTCTACACATGAACATAGGACCTCCCAATTTGGGGATACGCTGGCATGCATCCAGGAAGTCTGACCATCCGATTCCGTTAGTAGTCTCTGGGTTAGCAGGCGCGTAGCAAACCATAAATTTCGTGTAAGCCATATTTACAGGGACGTAGCTAACATTATAAAAAGCCCGGGCTTATACATGATTTTCGCTATGAAGGTTGGGCAAGCCCTCAATATTATCTGACCATAAAGCTTTGGAACCTGTCGGGCTTACACGACAAAATAGCTTCCTCAGCGCCTGATTTAGATAACCTTTTTAGCAACCATTATGTGTAAGCCCAACCTTTTTAGCAACCATTATGTGTAAGACCAACCTTTTTAGCAACCATTATGTGTAAGCCCAACCTTTTTAGCAACTATTATGTGTAAGCCCAACCTTTTCAGCAACCATTATGTGTAAGCCCAACCTTTTTAGCAACCATTATGTGTAAGCCCAACCTTTTTATGCAACCATTATGTATAAGACCAACCTTTTTAGCAACTATTAGTGGTAAGCTCAACCTTTTTAGCAACTATTATGTGTAAGCCCAACCTTTTTAGCAACCACTATGTGTAACACCGGGCTTTTTTTATACTGGTAGCTACGCCCCTGGTTAGTCGACCAGCATGGGTTGCTGAAGATCAATTCTGACCCGGATCTTCACGGGTTCGAAGGCGGCATGTGTACATAATAGTGTGTTACATAAACAAATAGGGAAAAAGATAGAGGCACATGTGATAGTGTCAGATGTATCATTGATTGCGTGCAAGCTGGAAGTAAACGCTGACAAAAGTCTAATCTGTATGTTAAATGATTTGTTTAATGAACTGAAATCTTCGATTAAATAAATAATAAATACAAATACAAAGAGAAAACGCTTGTTCTAAATGCTGATTACGTTACAAATGACAAATTTGAATTCACGCTTTAGACACAAGCATGTAGTGTGGTGTATAACACTATAAAACAACGTCGTGTATTGGATGTTGGTGCGATCTATGACATCATTAAACGTGTATTAGATATATGTGAGATGTATAACACTGTTACACGTGTATTTGATGCTAGTGAGGTGTTGTTACGATATATGTGCGATCTATAACGTCATTACACGTGTATTAGATATAAGTGAGATGTATAACACTGTTACACGTGTATTTGATGCTAGTGAGGTGCTAGTGAGGTGTTATTGATATATGTGCGATCTATAACATCATTACACGTGTATTAGATATAAGTGAGATGTATAACACTGTTACACGTGTTTTTGATGCTAGTGAGGTGTGTACCAGTGTTAGACGTGTTATTGATATATGTGCGATCTATAACATTATTACACGTGTATTAGATATAAGTGAGATGTATAACACTGTTACGTGTATTGATGCTAGTGAGGTTACGTGTATTTGATGCTAGTGAGGTAACATTATGTGTGATATAAGTGTTACACGTGTTATTGATTTGATGCTATAACATCATTACACGTGTTATTAGATATTTATTGACGTGTATTAGATATAATGCGATAAACACTGTTACACGTGTATTGATGCTAGTGAGGTGTGTACCAGTGTTAGACGTGTTATTGATATATGTGCGATCTATAACATTATTACACGTGTATTAGATATAAGTGAGATGTATAACACTGTTACACGTGTATTTGATGCTAGTGAGGTGTGTACCAGTGTTAGACGTGTTATTGATATATGTGCGATCTATAACATTATTACACGTGTATTAGATATAAAGTGAGATGTATAACACTGTTACACGTGTATTTGATGCTAGTGAGGTGTGTTCCAGTGTTAGACGTGTTATTGATATATGTGCGATCTATAACATTATTACACGTGTATTAGATATAAGTGAGATGTATAACACTGTTACACGTGTATTGATGCTAGTGAGGTGTGTACAGTGTTAGACGTGTTATTGATATATGTGCGATCTATAACATCATTACGTGTATTAGATATAAGTGAGATGTATAACACCGTTACGATGTTGATAACACTGTTACACGTGTATTGAATATAATGCTAGTGAGGTGTGTGACCAGTGTTAGACGTGTTATTGATATGTGCGATCTATAACATTATTACGTGTATTAGATATAAGTGAGATGTATAACACTGTTACACGTGTATTTGATGCTAGTGGGTGTGTACCAGTGTTAGACGTGTTAGATATATGTGCGATCTATAACATCATAACGTGTATTAGATACCAAGTTTGACGATGTATAACACTGTTACGTGTATTGATGCTAGGTGCGATCTATGACATCATTAAACGTGTATTAGATATATGTGAGATGTATAACACTGTTACACGTGTATTTGATGCTAGTGAGGTGTTGTTGATATATGTGCGATCTATAACGTCATTACACGTGTATTAGATATAAGTGAGATGTATAACACTGTTACACGTGTATTTGATGCTAGTGAGGTGTTGTTGATATATGTGCGATCTATAACATCATTACACGTGTATTAGATATAAGTGCGATGTATAACACTGTTACACGTGTTTTTGATGCTAGTGAGGTGTGTACCAGTGTTAGACGTGTTATTGATATATGTGCGATCTATAACATTATTACACGTGTATTAGATATAAGTGAGATGTATAACACTGTTACACGTGTATTTGATGCTAGTGAGGTGTGTACCAGTGTTAGACGTGTTATTGATATATGTGCGATCTATAACATCATTACACGTGTATTAGATATAAGTGAGATGTATAACACTGTTACACGTGTATTGATGCTAGTGAGGTGTGTTCCAGTGTTAGACGTGTTATTGATATATGAGCGATCTATAACATTATTACACGTGTTATTGATATAAGTGAGATGTATAACACTGTTACACGTGTATTTGATGCTAGTGAGGTGTGTACCAGTGTTAGACGTGTTATTGATATATGTGCTAACTATAACATTATTACACGTGTATTAGATATAAGTGCGACGTATAACACTGTTACACGTGTATTTGATGCTAGTGAGGTGTGTACCAGTGTTAGACGTGTTATTGATATATGTGCGATCTATAACATTATTACACGTGTATTAGATACAAGTGAGAGTATAACACTGTTACACGTGTATTATAAGATGCTAGTGAGGTGTGTTTGATGCCAGTTGTTAGACGTGTTATTGATATATGTGCGATCTATAACATCATTACACGTGTATTAGATACAAGTGAGATGTATAACACTGTTACACGTGTATTGATGCTAGTGAGGTGTGTTCCAGTGTTAGACGTGTTATTGATATATGTGCGATCTATAACATTATTACACGTGTTATTGATATAAGTGAGATGTATAACACTGTTACACGTGTATTTGATGCTAGTGAGGTGTGTACCAGTGTTAGACGTGTTATTGATATATGTGCGATCTATAACATTATTACACGTGTATTAGATATAAGTGAGATGTATAACACTGTTACACGTGTATTTGATGCTAGTGAGGTGTGTACCAGTGTTAGACGTGTGATTGATATATGTGCGATCTATAACATCATTACACGTGTATTAGATATAAGTGAGATGTATAACACTGTTACACGTGTATTTGATGCTAGTGAGGTGTTGTTGATATATGTGTGATCTATAACATCATTACACGTGTATTAGATATAAGTGCGATGTATAACACTGTTACACGTGTTTTTGATGCTAGTGAGGTGTGTACCAGTGTTAGACGTGTTATTGATATATGTGCGATCTATAACATTATTACACGTGTATTAGATATAAGTGCGATGTATAACACTGTTACACGTGTATTTGATGCTAGTGAGGTTTGTACCAGTGTTAGACGTGTTATTGATATATGTGCGATCTATAACATTATTACACGTGTATTAGATACAAGTTTGATGTATAACACTGTTACACGTGTATTGATGCTAGTGAGGTGTGTTCCAGTGTTAGACGTGTTATTGATATATGTGCGATCTCTAACATTATTACACGTGTTATTGATATAAGTGAGATGTATAACACTGTTACACGTGTATTTGATGCTAGTGAGGTGTGTACCAGTGTTAGACGTGTTATTGATATATGTGCGATCTATAACATCATTACACGTGTATTAGATATAAGTGAGATGTATAACACTGTTACACGTGTATTTGATGCTAGTGAGGTGTTGTTGATATATGATGTAATGTGCGATCTATAACATCATTACACGATCTATAACATCATTACACGTGTATTAGATATAAGTGCGATGTATAACACTGTTACACGTGTTTTGATGCTAGTGAGGTGTGTACCAGTGTTAGACGTGTTATTGATATATGTGCGATCTATAACATTATTACGTGTATTAGATATAAGTGAGATGTATAACACTGTTACACGTGTATTTGATGCTAGTGAGGTGTGTACCAGTGTTAGACGTGTTATTGATATATGTGCGATCTATAACATCATTACACGTGTATTAGATATAAGTGAGATGTATAACACTGTTACACGTGTATTGATGCTAGTGAGGTGTGTTCCAGTGTTAGACGTGTTATTGATATATGTGCGATCTATAACATTATTACACGTGTTATTGATATAAGTGAGATGTATAACACTGTTACACGTGTATTTGATGC